ATGTGGTTTTCCATTCCTTCTTGTAAGTTATTTATATCAATTAAAACCATTATGAGGGCAAGTACAGATCCATGTGGTACCCCACTAGTAACATTCTCCCAAGAGAACATTTTTGTTTCTTATGACTGTTCGCATTTTTCTCTCTTAGCCATTTTAATCTGTTGTGTGTGTGCTCTCCTAGTTGTGGTTGCAGGGGTTGAGTCACAGCTCCTGGCCCCGCCTCTTCACTGGTCGCTACTAGGTCACTTCCTGATCCATGAGCTTTATCATACCTCTTCTTAAAGCTATGTATGGATCCTGCGTCCATTGCATCACTTCTATACTATTCCACTTTCTGACAACTCTGTGACTGAAGAAATGCTTCCTGTGATTCATCTGAATCTTCAACTTCCTATTGTGACCCCTTGTTGTTTCCCATCTCTGGAACATCCTGTCTCTGTCCACCTTGTCAGTTCCTCTCAGCATTTTATATGTCGTGTGTGTGTGTGTGTGTGTGTGTGTGTGTGTGTGTGTGTGTGTGTGTGTGTGTGTGTGTGTGTGTGTGTGTGTTTATATTGGTAGCATGTCGAGTGTAATCAGTTCATTATGCTAGCTGGTATTGTTGGTTTTTTAGTCTGTATGACACGAAGGCAATTGGAATATCTATTTTTTATGTGATGGTATAATGGGTGTCGTGTCACTTGGACGTGCGTGCTATCATGTTCGAAGGTTTTCACTTGTTCTGTACACGAGAAAATATATTGTTCCTTGTCACTGATTTGTTTTTGTTGTTGTGTGTACTCACCTAATTGTGGTTACAACGGTCGATTCACAGCTTTTGACCCCGCCTCTTCACTGGTCGCTACTTGGTCCACTCCCTGCTCCATGAGCCTTATCATACCTCTTCTTAAAGCTATGTGTGGATCCTGCCTCCATTGCCTCACTTTCCAGACTATTCCACTTCCTGATAACTCTATAACTGAAGAAATACTTCTTGACATCTCCGTGACTCATCTAAATCGTCAACTTCCAGCTGTGACCCCTTGTTGCTGTGTCCCATCTCGGGAACATCCTGTCTCTGTTCACCTTGTCAGTTCCTCTCAGTATTTTATATGTCGTTATCATGTCCCCCCCCCTTCTCCCTGAAAGCTGGCTGCCTTGGATCAAAGTCTAGCGCAAGCTGGACTCCAAGGTATTGGTCCAGTGTGGGTAGATTGGTAAAGCACTGCGTACCTTGTTCCAAGGTTCGTAGGTTCGAGTCTCCTTCAGCCAGAGATCAGTGTTATATATATATATATAATGTCGTGCCGAATATGTAAAACTGGTCAATTAGCAAGAACTCATTTAAAATTAAGTCCTTTCTAAAAAGTTCTCTTATACGTTTAAAGATATATTTTTTTTTTCATTAATGTTAATGTATAAATTTATAATTTTGCACCAAAAGAATCTTAGAAAACTTATCTAACCCTATTATAACAAGCATAATTTATTTTAGCCTAATCCAACTAAATGTATTTTAGATACGTTTACAATAATTTAATATTAAACAAACACAAAGAAATATATTTTTTTCGTTAGGTTCAGAATGATTCTGGCGAAATTATTGCATACACAAATTTCACTTGTCCTATATGGCAAGATGAGGGTTGCTATTTAAGCCAAGATCGCAAGTTCTGCCTGTTCGGCACGACATATATATATATATATATATATATATATATATATATATATATATTATATATATATATATATATATATATATATATATATATAAAACTTCCTCAGATCAGTCAGAACTGGTTTAACATTCAACAAGCTTCTTAGGGTTATATTAACCTGGTTGTGCTTGAAGCCCAATTTAGGTTACTCCTGAAAGTTATAAATGTAGTGAGGTGCGTGACTTCAAAAACGCTGACTATGCCACTGACGTGAGACTAGTATGGATTACGGTGAGCCAGTGTGCAATCCACGTCTCGTCAGACACGTGAGAAAACCGGAGAAGGTCCAGAGATTTGCCTCTATTTTTTTTTTTTTTTTTTTTTTTTTTTTTTTTTTTTTTTTTAGATAAATGACCTGATCCACAAGTCACCTGCACAGTATAAATGGAACCTGGTCGACTTTTCCGGTCCGTTCTGATCCAGAACGGACCCTAAATCTTGTCTAATTTTTATTTCCAATTTCTTTTTTAAGTTGTATATTATTGTTATTGATGGTATGCAATGCAGACAAATTGACGAATAAGACACACGTGCAACACTTCCGTACCTGAAGGATGTCTTCAGGGGTCAGCGCCCCGCGAGTCGGTCGTCCCATACCTGGCCTGGTATATCCATCTCTGATCATCTAGGCTCTTACTGCTGGTCGCACATAGTTCAACGTATGCACAACCCCGCTGATCAAGGACTGACTTTAGGAACTTATCAAGTTCCCAAATATTTACACTGGCCCGTATGACTAAAAGACGGCTGAGTTATGAAGACACTGCAAAACCTACATGTTAGTTGAGAGAAAAACAAATGCTCGAAGGGCATGTGGTCACAAAACATATAATTGCTATAAAATAGCGTTCACAAATACGTATGGAGAGGTACTGAAAAAGCTGTTGAATATGCAGCTGCTCTGTGGTGTCCACGACTGAAAAAACTGGACCAGATGAAAAAAAAAAAGGTACAAAGAAAAGCTATAGTGTGAATTACGATGAAAAGTTGAAAACAGTAAAGATGGTCACGTTAACTGATGAAAAGGGGAATAGGAGATATGATAGCATAAAAGTTTATAAATAAAAAATGAAAGAATAGATAAAGATGTTCAGTATCTTCGAGCCGAAAGGATGCTAGGATTTTTTTTTTTGAAAGAGAATGGTAGAAAAATTGATAAATTGAAAGGGGAGATAGTAAAAACTATAACTATTAGAAAATAAATTAAAATGATGAACATATTGAAAATGAGAAACGCGAGTAAAGCTCTGCTGTTGTATAGCTACGAATAGGTATATAAAGAGGTATGTTAAGAGGTATAAACAAGGTAGGTAAACTGTGTCTGAGAGTGTGGGACCAGGTGGGGAGGGCGGGCACGAGTGAGAACAAATAAACATTCCCAAATCATTTCTGTATTACATTATATACCCTTAAGTAGCTCTAAACCCAGATAAGGCCGTACCGCGCTCAGGAAATGGAAGGCAATAAAATCTGATCCGGGGGGGGGCGGTGGATGGATAGCTCCAATTCCGTGGAACAAGAATCTTGGACAAGCATCAACGCAGCCCATTTTGAAAGGACCAGAATTAAGAACTTGTACAGAATGAGGCTGATGAACATGTGGAATGTGTAGTGAAGGAGAGCAACTTGCGTTACTTTATATTTGATTACTACAGAACCTCAGGTGTTGGGCGGTATGAGTCACGTTGATTACTGATTAAAAAGGCGCGGCCCAGCAGTTAATATTCGCTCCTGGCAAACACTAGTACAGTTAGAATACTCGCACACAGCCTTGTATTCCTGGCTGGCTTGGCACACACTGGCAACCGATGCGCATTTGTTTTACCCACTCTGAGAGCTCTTGTGTTTATTGTTTTGTTGTGGTCTTGGAAACTGCTTTTCGTTTTATATGTGGAATTTTAACCGATGCTATTTGTCTGTTACGAAATTGGGAACTAGGCTACTTCATCTGTTGTACACTTAAAGCTATGTATTTCATCTTTGGAGATCTTGGGAACACTGTTATTCGTTTGTGTTGTGTGTCGTCCCAGTATTTCTTTATATAGAGTTAGAACTGTATTTGTTTCTTAATTGGATACATTATGCTTGTTTTGCCTATTGTGTTTTAGCGTCTGTTGACTTTCTGAAGTGCAGCGGGACTTGCTGCTGTTTTCTGTTTTGTATATACAGTACTACCTGGAGGGCATTCCGGGGATCAACGCCCCCGCGGCCCGGTCCAGGACCAGGCCTCCCTACAAGTACTGTAGGTTTTGCGCCGCAAAATCTACTTGAGAATTTATTAATGATGTAACTAGTTTAAATAAACTGGGGCTTCTGCTACTTTCACTTCCTTATAATTTCCTTACTTTTGAGGACAAGCTAACGCATTCAGTAATAAAATTTAAGCACTTGCCTTCCGTATTTTAAATAGGGTTAAATCACAGTAGCCATCTTGGACGTCAGCGGCACGCTACTCGTTTTCAGTTATTTCTTAAAGACTGATTCTTAAGTTGCTCGTGTGTGGCGGGGTGTGCGGCCAGCAGTAACAGCCTGGTTGATCAGGCCCTGCACCACCGGGAGGCCTGGTCATGGACCGGGCCGCGGGGGCGTTGATCCCCGGAATAACCTCCAGGTAACATGTACTATCCCCACGGTCCTGCAACGCTAGGCGTTTTCCCTCTCACTTGGTTTATTTACCTTACGGAGTTACATTTTGGATATTAGATTTGGCCGTCGAAGCGACTAGTTTATTGTACACCCTGTGTACCCCCTCACTACCATCTTGTAGTCGGTAGCACAGGAGTATATGGATACACAGAAGGCCTAGGAACTAGACCCCAAAAGGGTTAACAGGCGTACATCTGGATTTATATCTACAGATTGTCTTATCTCCTGCAAGCAAAATTAAAATATTTGTTTAATATTTCGTATCTTATTTTCTTTACATTTTTTCCTTATCAGTTTAGGGTGTTAACTCTGAGTGACGCTGCTTAGTAAACTCGCTCATGGAAACATTCAACAAATTAAGCTTCTCCGTTTTTGTATTTATAGGTCAAGGCATTCTTGATTTTGTAACATGCCATGCCCTGGATGTGTAAACTAGTAATAGCCTCGCCGTCGGTGCAGGCTGCCATCAAGTAGTTAAACAGTGGAGGCATTTCATGAAGGTAATAATATAACTTCTTCTCCAATAAAAAAATATGTGTAAGTTTGGTTGTCGTGTTTGAGTTGCGACACTAGTGGCTGTGAAGGAAGGCTTCTTCCTCAGTCACTTTTTAACATTTGTGCTTTAGTATTAAATCTTATTTTTTTTTACCCTTTCAGGTAATTTTTAATTCAACGTGGTGGTGGTGGCTCCGGGAACCAGTTCAAGGTAGATGCTTACTGGTATTGACGTGGTATGTCTTCTCTACTACTCCACCCATTTATCTCCATGACAGTCTCCCCTTTCCGGGCCCCTCTCCTCTTTCTTTGTTTTCTTCTCCTCTTGCTTTCTCTGTCTTCTATTTCTAGCTTCGCAATCTTTATCTTCCCCCTCCTCATCCTCTCTTTGCCCACATCTCTCACCTAACTTTCGCTACTACAAGCAACTTAGAGGATGAAAGATATAGATATACCGACAATCAATTACGCAAATGGGCACACATGCCACATTAAGGATACTTTATTGCAGGCCACATTCTGCTCACCAGGAACTTTGTCAAAGCTTGACCATTCTCCTGGTGAGCGAAATATTGCACTTATATCTACGTACCTAAAGAACTTAGCCGTGCAGACAGTATGTTTTATTTCGGAAGGTTTACAAATGCTTTTACAAACAGTAGAATGTTTACCTAGTCACTTTCAGAGGTCACCGCCCCCGCGGCCTGGTTTCAGACTAGGCCTCCTAGTTGCTGGCGTAACCGATCCAGCTGTCAGTAGCCGCAGTCCAACGTGTACACCACAACCCGGTTGATCAGGAGCTCTTTTTCAAGAATTTGTCGAGTTGCCTCTTGAAGACAGCTAGGAGTTTGTTGGTGATTTCCCTTATGCTGTGAAGGCAAATCTTAATAACCTAAGTTTATTTAGGTACAGGCACACATAGAGTTATACAAATTATCATACAAAGTAGAGTAGAATATATGCAGTTGACTTCGGGTAAACCAGTAACTATTTCTAAATCTAAAGAGCAGTGTGAGTTGCGGGTTTTGGCACTGTATGTGATGGTTAGAGAGGTAAGGGAGAGGAGAGACAGGTTTGTGGGGAAAGGGACGGTCTGGGAGTGGCAGTATACTGGTGAGGGAGAGGTAAGCAAGGCGAGAAGGGGAGAGGTTTGTTGTTCTTGTGGTATGTCCTGCTCTCCCTGCTCCCCACATGAGCCTGCAAGCCTGGTTGTGGGGTGAACGACCGTCCTTGCCTCCCTTCCCTCCCCACCCTCCAGGCGCACTCACCCACCTACTCTCCCCCCCCTCTCTCTCTCATCCACACCCACTCCTTCCTTCCCCACCCTCCAGGCGCACTCACCCCACCTACTCTCTCTCTCTCTCTCTCTCTCTTCTCTCTCTCTCTCTCTCTCTCTCTCATTAACACCCACTCCTTCCTTCCCCACCCTCCAGGCGCACTCACCCACCTACTCTCCCCCTCTCATCCACACCCACTCCTTCCTTCCCCACCCTCCAGGCGCACTCACCCACCTACTCTCCCACCATCGCATTCACATTCACCCACCTACTCTTCATCGCATCACTCACCCACATACTCTCCCTTCATCGCATCCACACTCACCCACCTACTTTCCCTCCCTGGCATCCACACTCCCCCTCCTACTCTCCCTCGCATCTACACTCATCCACCTAGTCTCCCTCCCTGGCATCCACACTCGCCTACTTTCCGTCCCTCGCATCCTTGCGGATGATACTAGGATCTGCATGAGGCTGTCATCTGCTGAGGACGCGGTTAACCTCCAAGAAGATATAAACAAAGTTTTCCAGTGGGCAACGGTAAACAATATGATGTTCAATGAGGACAAATTCCAACTACTCCGTTATGGAAAACTGGAGGAGATAATAACTAGAACAGAGTATACTACTGACTCCGGCCGTACAATAGAGCGGAAAAATAATGTAAGGGACCTGGGAGTAGTAATGTCTGAGGATCTCACTTTCAAGGATCACAACAGTGCCACGATCGCACGTGCAAAGAAAATGATAGGATGGATAATGAGAACTTTCAAAACGAGAGATGCCAAGCCCATGATGATCCTTTTCAAATCACTTGTTCTCTCTAGGCTGGAATACTGCTGTACATTAACATCTCCCATACAAAGCAGGTGAAATCGCAGATCTAGAGAGTGTACAGAGATCCTTTACTGCACGTATAAGTTCTGTCAAGCACCTTAACTACTGGGAACGCTTGGAAGCACTTGACTTGTACTCGTTGGAACGCAGGAGGGAGAGATATATCATAATCTACACTTGGAAAATCTTGGAAGGAATGGTCCCAAACCTGCACACAGAAATCACACCCTACGAAAGTAAAAGACTGGGCAGGCGATGCAAAATGCCGCCAATAAAAAGTAGGGGCGCCATTGGTACACTAAGAGAAAACACCATAAGTGTCCGGGGCCCAAAACTGTTCAACAGCCTCCCATCAAGCATTAGGGGAATTGCCAATAAACCCCTGGCTGCCTTCAAGAGAGAGCTGGACAGATACCTAAAGTCGGTGCCGGATCAGCCGGGCTGTGGCTCGTACGTCGGACTGCGTGCGGCCAGCAGTAACAGCCTAGTTGATCAGGCCCTGATCCATCGGGAGGCCTGGTCGTGGACCGGGCCGCGGGGGCGTTGATCCCCGGAATAACCTCCAGGTAACCCACCTACTCTCCCTCCCACCCTCACTACATGTGCGTGTGTACCCTTTACACTCCTCATCGTCACTCAGGCTGACATATTTCAATACTTACATATGAAATCCATACTCCGTAGTTGAGCATAACAAGGAAATGCAACTAACTAGTGTTTCACTATAAAACTATCATATAGAATAGGGTAGCAGCACAGTGCTGGTATATCAAATTTTGATAAGTAATAAAGGGGCCCTCTGTTGTGTGGCTGTGCATCTTCACAACGTAATATTACTTGCCAAGAATACAGTCATATTCCCCACACACTGACTGGGTCACACAGACTACGCTTCTCTCATTCCCGCCTTGCCTCGTTCATTCTTTATTAATGCGTTGGCCCCACACACACTAGCCAGCCAATCATTCCACATTTTTCTATTTTTCCAACGTAGTACGCAACGTCAGTTTCTTAACACTTCTATTTTTCACATCTTATTGTGTATTATTTTAAATTAAGTTGGATTAGACTAGGTTGCGTGAACATCTGAAAACTTATACTTAACCACAGGTCAGTAAATTAAAAAAGCCTCAATTTGTCTAGCAAGAAGACGATAGGAATAACTATCTGTAGTTTACCTGGAGTGGCTTCCGAAGGTTAGCGCCCCTGCGGCCCGGTCTCAGACCAGGCCCCTGTTGCTGGCCTGATCTCAGACCAGGCCCCTGTTGCTGGCCTGATCTATCAAGCTGTTAGTGCCCACCGCCCGTAATCTGATGTACGCACTGCACCCCTCCTGCAGGTCCACATATCCATCACAGGCTGGTGGATCTGCCACTTTATTACTGTAGTTGAGTATCCAAAATAATGATGTCAGTAAGACTCGAGTACCATTAGTAGGCCTACTGTAGTAGGCATGTCCAGTCTTCAAAAGAAAACTGGATAAGTATCTTCACCAGGTGCCAGATCAACCAGGTGGTGATAGATATGTGGGGCAGCAGGCCTCCAGCAGCAACAGCCTGGTTGACCAGGCTACCAGCAGACGAGCCGGGATATACCTCATCAAAGGTATTATTAAAGTAGTACAATAACACATATATAGTATGTGACATGACCTATTTGTGTGTGATTACTTGTTCGGTGAAATATTTGTATGAAGTACACAATACCGTAACTGGAATAAGACACAAATAATCGACACAGAGGAGAAATAAACTTTGTGACTAGTTAATGGCCCAAGTTGGATCGAAACGTCGTCATAAAGTTTGTGTGTGAGAGTTATTTGTGTACGTGTTTGTATGTAATGACATGTTACAGTGTTGATTATTGTGATATGACATGTTACAATGTTGATTATTGTGGTATGACATGTTACAATGTTGATTATTGTGGTACGACATGTTACAATGTTGATTATTGTGGTATGACATGTTACAATGTTGATTATTGTGGTATGACATGTTACAATGTTGATTATTGTGGTATGACATGTTGATTATTGTGGTATGACATGTTGCAATGTTGATTATTGTGGTATGACATGTTACAATGTTGATTATTGTGGTATGACATGTTGCAATGTTGATTATTGTGGTATGACATGTTGCAATGTTGATTATTGTGGTATGACATGTTGATTATTGTGGTATGACATGTTACAATGTTGATTATTGTGGTATGACATGTTGCAATATTGATTATTGTGGTATGACATGTTGCAATATTGATTATTGTGGTATGACATGTTACAATGTTGATTATTGTGGTATGACATGTTGCAATGTTGATTATTGTGGCATGACATGTTGCAATGTTGATTATTGTGGTATGACATGTTGATTATTGTGGTATGACATGTTACAATGTTGATTATTGTGGTATGACATGTTACAATGTTGATTATTGTGGTATTGACATGTTACAATGTTGATTATTGTGGTATGACATGTTACAATGTTGATTATTGTGGTATGACATGTTACAATGTTGATTATTGTGGTATGACATGTTACAATGTTGATTATTGTGGTATGACATGTTACAATGTTGATTATTGTGGTATGACATGTTACAATGTTGATTATTGTGGTATGATATGTTGATTATTGTGGTATGACATGTTACAATGTTGATTATTGTGGTATAACATGTTACAATGTTGATTATTGTGGTATGACATGTTGATTATTGTGGTATGACATGTTGATTATTGTGGTATGACATGTTGATTATTGTGGTATGACATGTTGCAATATTGATTATTGTGGTATGACATGTTGCAATATTGATTATTGTGGTATGACATGTTGCAATGTTGATTATTGTGGTATGACATGTTGCAATGTTGATTATTGTGGTATGACATGTTGCAATATTGATTATTGTGGTATGACATGTTGCAATGTTAATTATTGTGGTATGACATGTTGCAATGTTGATTGTTGTGGTATGACATGTTGCAATGTTGATTATTGTGGTATGACATGTTGCAATATTGATTATTGTGGTATGACATGTTGCAATATTGATTATTGTGGTATGACATGTTGCAATGTTGATTATTGTGGTATGACATGTTGCAATATTGATTATTGTGGTATGATATGTTTTGCTGCTGTGTACTTCAGTTAGGAGTTTATACTTGTAACTCGTAACTGTAGTTGATTCTTACGGAAGTTATGAAGGACAAAAAGGCACACTACCGTGGCTGGAACAATACACAAATAACCCGCACGTTTCAGTCCTGTGTGCAGGTTATTTGTGTATTAAGGTGAACCTTTTTATAAGGTTATTAATAGGTAGACCTTTGTACCATTACATTGGTTGGCATCCTTGCAACTGAAATGTTGACTAAGGGGCCTGGAACTGCAGTAGAGGAAAAAAATACTTGGAGTACACCTCGGCAGGGAGGGATGTGCTTATGGCTCTGCAAGTTTATCGTTCGTGGTGGTATGGCTCTGCAAGTTTATCGTTCGTGGTGGTAAATAACCACGAATGATGTAAATGCTCAGAGATTTAAACCAGTAGAATGGTAATTTACTAGCATGGTGAGAGATGATGTTCTGACGATCGTATCTATCGGATAACACCTAAAGTGGTTCTCTAAGACGAACATACAAGAAGTGAACAGAAGTTCGAAGACAATTGTATCCGTTTCCATGGGATTATAATTATGTTCCGCTCCAGTGATAAAAAGCAGGTAGGTGGTTTTAGATCGGATTAGAGATCTTATGGCCAGTAACTAATGAAATCGTTATAAGGAGGACTTATTGCCCAAGACAGGGAAGGTTACGGTTAACAAATGAAACATGAGATAACCTGAAATACGATAGACAACAGTTATGGGGAAAACTGACCTCGCTAATTAATTCTTGTACATCCACAATAACTGGAAGACGAGTGACAGGCAGAAGTTGTTGTTACTCGATCACAAACGAGCTAAGTATTGATTCGCCTTCATATTTATCGCGACTGTGATAAAATAACGTAAAAATTCCTCATCCATGTTGCCACAGCCATCACCCTCTTAAGTGGAAATATGAATATCTTTAATTTTTTAATCTGTTGGAATGTAACTTGGGAGATTTATCTGCAGTTATCTGAAGGGCTGACGAAACCAGGTTAACTGTGGTTTTAGTCTCGACCGTT